TGAGGAGTGTGGGGGGGGGGGGGGGCGGAAGGTGGACCCACAGGCAGAGGACGACTCTGAGGTCAGAGATGCATGCAGCCAGGAGCTCTTCTCTACCCTGGAGGAGGCTAGCCAGTCACACCAGTCGGAGCTTGGCAAAGTGCAAACAGGAGAAGGCCCCTGTAAGTGGCTTTGATTTTGAGAATCACCGAAGCAAGTTGTTGGGGGCAGGAGAGTTGCAGAAAGCAGGCTTGCGTCTGTATGATGCGCGTATCACCACATGCCTAGTCTGAGTGGTGGGAAAGGGTGTTGATCGACTCCCTAACTTCACAGGAATCTGCCTCAGATCTCCACGAAACTCTCATGGAGTCACTGGGCAATCCGCTGCCACAGGTTCTTTGTCAGAGCTGCTTTGTTTCTTGGCTCATTAAGGGTAACTTTCCTGCGCCACTCTGTCATGGGGGGGAAGAGACCACTGCTGCACACAAGTGAGCCACATAAGGGCCAGGGCGGAAGCCGCAGTCTTGGAGAAGACCCTCCCTTGATTCCCTGCTCACCCTCAGTAGTGAGATATCTTCCATAATTAACACAGCCTGTGGAAAATGTGGGACAGTAATGATTATAAGGCCCCCCCTACAGTGCTGGCTCTCCCCAGGAGTCAGGTGCCCATTGTACAGTATGGTCCTGGAACACTGATTTCCCCTGCCCCTGCGGTTACTCACCATTTTGGGGGTCTTGTGGCTCATGTGCGCTTGCCTGGGGTCAGCCAGTTAGAGACAGGTACATGAATAGTGGCTGTGTTTTAAATCACTGAATCAGTGGTCTGTGTGTTGCAAATAATACTGCTTCTGTAAAATCCTGCATTTTGGCTTCACAGAGATGACCTTGGGAGCCCAGCCTCCCTCTTTGTTATCGCCGGCTAAACAGCTGCGCAGAATTAGAAAGTGGCCACGAAGAACTAAAGAGGACTTTCTGCGTGATGTCATGATGCACTCCATGGCCAAAAAACAAGAATGGAAGGAGTGGCAGGACAGCCAGGAGAGGGACCAAAAGGAGAATGCGGCACATCAGAACGAAGCCACGGAGCAGCTCTTAAAAGTTATGGAGTGCCAATCGGACATGCACCAGGTGCTACTAGCACTACAAACTGAGCCGCTCCATGCCTGCTCTCCCCTGCAGCCGCTGTCACAAAACTCTTTCCCATGTGCCCCCCAGATACCGCCAACACACTCTTATCAACCTCCTGGCTCCAGTCTGTACCCGCTGCATTCCACTTCTGCCCTGTCACAGTCCAGCCCTGCGGACTCCTAGTACCCACTGCATTCAACACCCGTCCCTCTGCAGTTTACACCAGCTGAAGTACAGTACCTGCTACACTGTACTCCAAAGGACAAGGTTGCATATGATTCATGGACATACACAAATCTTTAACCGTCCCGGGACCCCATCTCCTCTTGGGACCCTCCCTTCCCCCAATCTCCCACAGTGCTGATGTGTTTTTTTGTTTGACTCTCTCCTCTGGTTGTTTTTTAATAAAAGAATTGTTTTGTTTTGAAAGCAATCTTTATTACATTAATTGAAAGCAAACAGAGCCCTGCAAAGCACCAGGCAATTTTCTTAAACCTTCGCAGTGCATCGTCTGCACCAATCACGACCACCTCCTAGCATTATAAGCACTGCAGTCCAAAGCATAGCAACAAATATTAGTGGATTTCAGCATCAACTTGATGCCTCAAGGTATCCCTGATCCTTATGGCCCTGCGCTGCACCCCTCTAATAGCCTTGGTCTCTGTCTGCTCAAATTCAGCCTCCAGGCACCGAGCCGCAGCAATCTAGACTTGAGTGAAACTTTCACCCTTCCCCTCACAAATATTATGAAGCGTACAGCACGCAGCTATAAGCATAGGAATATTGTCATCAGCCAGGTCCAGCCTCCCATATAGGCAGAGCCAGTGGGCCTTTAAATGGCCAAAAGCACACTCAGTCATTCTGTGCTTACTCAGCCTGTTATTGAACCACTCCTTGCTGCTGTAAAGGTGCCCTGTGTATGGCTTCCTAAGCCATGGCATTAAGGGCTAGGCAGAGTCTCCCAGGATCACAATGGGCATTTCGACTTCCCCTACGATGATCTTCTGGTCCAAGAAGAAAGTCCCTGCTCGCACTTCCTGAACAGACCAGTGTTCTGAAAGATGTGTGCGTCATGCACCTTTTCGGAACAGCCTGCATTAATGTGCGTGAAATGCCCACGGTGATCCACAAGCGCCTGAAGAACCATAGAGAAATACCCCTTCCAATTAACGTACTAGGAGGTCTGGTGCCAGAATTGGAATAAGCGTGCCATCTATCGCCTCTCCGCAGATAGGGAAGCCCATTTGTGCAAAGCCATCCACAGTGTCACGCACATTGCCCAGAGTCGTGGTCTTTCAGAACAGGATGCGATAAATGGCCCTGCACACTTCCATCAACACGAGTCAATGGTTGACTTTCCCACTCTGAACTGATTAGCGACCGATCGGTAGCAGTCTGGAGTAGCCAGCTTCCACAGTGTAATCGCCATGCGCTTCTCCAACAACGGGGCAGCTCTCATTCTCGTGTCCTTGCACCGCAGGGCTGGGGCGAGCTCATCACACAGTCCCATGAATGTGGCTTTCCTCATCCAAAAGGTCTGCAGCAACTGCTCATCATCGCAGACGTGCATGACAATGTGATCCCACCACTCAGTGCTTGTTTCCTGAGCCCAAAAGCAGTGTTGCACTGTGGTCAGCACCCCCGTGAATGCCACAAGCAATCTCGTGTTGTAGCTACTACGCGTGGCGAGATCAACATCAAACTCCTCTTGCCTTTGTAGTTTAAGGAATAATTCCACCGCCACTCATGAAGCGTTAGTGAGAGCGAGCAGTATATTGATCAACAGTGCGGGATCCAGTCCTGCAGACCGAAGAGGCAGAACGTGCAGTACACAAACCGTTGAAAGATGGCGCCAAATGCAGACAGAAGCACAGAGGTTGCTGGGATGCGAAGCAATGCATCACCTGGCACTGGGACAGGACCCAGGATGCCCCGCGACCCCCTCCGCCTTCCCACAACTCTTAGTGGCAGAAGAGGAAGAGATGCTCTGTGGTATAACTGCCCAGAGTGCACCGCTCCGAAAACTGCTGCAAGTGCAAACACGCTATTTCAAATATTTAAATATGTGGAATATAATTTGGAAGGAAAGTGAAGGAGGCACTGATTTCAAATATTATGTTTTAAAAATCTAAGCATATTTGAAATTTTAGGACTGAGCCTCATTCACCACTCTTTTACATCAGTTTTACATCAGCAACTCCACTGAAATTAATGGAATTGTAAAATTGAACAGGGTATGAATCAATCTCTGCATTTATTCTGTTCGGCAGGTTTGCCAATCCCAGACATTCACAAATTACGAGACTCCTCCACCTCCGCAAAAAAACTCACGAGACTGGCTAAGTAAACATGTTTTAAATAAAAGTCGCATTGTTTATTGCCTGCCTTTTAATTTTTTGTTTAAGCCGCCTTTAGGGGAAAGCCACCAAATCCCAACTTGTATGTAATTATCTCAGAGTCAACATTCAGACTTAAATACACACACAAAAGTGCAGCCTCCTTGTTCACTGATCACAGGGAACTCATCCTCTCCTGTCCCCGGGATATGAGCAGCCCTCCTTTACTTCTCTCTCACCCTCCCAAGTTATACAGAAGAGAGAGCTGCTGTATTCCCTCTCTTTGCATGCTCTCCCAGTCACTTACCCTAGTCTACAGTCACTTGACCGCCATAGTTCCTTCCCTTTTTCCTGACAGTCTCCTATGCATTCCGTTTTTTTCTGCTAGGCCAGATTCCCCTGAATCACCTCTCAATCTGCCTTCTGCTTCTCCAACATTTCTCTGACCCCTACCCAGTTCCCTAAAACATGCCCTCTCCCTCCTGCTGTCCAAAGTCCAACTTCGATCACCTGCACATTTTCCCATCCCATGGTGACCAAGGAGGAACTGACTTCCCTCAGGGTAGCCTAGCTTAAGCCCCATTAAAACAATGTGCGAGTTTATGCTGGAGCTAGTGGTATAATTTCTAGCTTGAGTACACATCATGCACTAATTTTAAGCAAGGCACCATGCTAAAAACAGAAGTGTAGATGCAGCAGTGTGAGTAGCAGGAGGGGCTAGTTCCCTAAGAACATATCTTATGTGTCAGATGGGATCACAATGGGGGCAGCTAGCCTATCCTGTGACTTGCGGTGCTGTAGCTACACTGCTATTTTTAGCATATTAGCTTCACCAGAGCTAGCACAGGTATGTCTACTCAAGCTGGAAATTACACCTTACAGCTCCAGTGCAGACGGAGGCAGTGCTAGCCCACTGCGGGTCCCTAAGCAGGAATATTTTGGGGGCCCGCCACACACACAACACATAACAAAAGCGAATGGGGGGGCCCTTAAGCTGCTTGGGGCCTTAAGAAACTGCTTAGTCTGCTTATGCCTAGTGCCGGCTCTGAGTGTAGACATACCCAATGACAGATAACATCCGTTTTTGCTGGGGGCAGTCACACTTTTCATTTACAAAAGTTAAAGCAACATGGTGACTATTTTGGATGAAGGCTAAATTTCACAAGATTGAAGGCAGAAATCAGAAATTAAAAAAACATCATTGAAGGAGCTTAATCCCCATCACCTGCTGGGCTAGTGAATGCACCTAATTAGTCATACTTTGCACCTGGTGAGGTGAGTAGCTAATTGACTCTTAGCCAGAGGGGGTGGAGCTAAGCCATAATAAGTAGACTGAAGGAGCTAGGGCTCTCTGGCTGAGGGTTAGGTTACACAGAGACAATAGAGGTAGCAGCAGAAGCAGAGTTCCATTTGAACTTTTGTCTGGATTTGTTTGATACCTTGGAAAAGATCTGAACTTAAGTGACTTGGCTGGAGGGCTGAGCAACAGAAGAGCTGGGGATAAAGATAGTGGTAACATCCCAACTGATGCCAGAGGAGGGGGAGGGCGTTCTGAGGGTGAGTGAGCCCTGCCCAACCATCAAACAAATATTGAGGATCATTATAAAACCAAGTGATTTGGCAATGCTGGCTTAGTGCAAATCCTGGCATTGCCCCTTCTTCCCAACAGGTGCAGAAGGAGGAGGCCTTAGATGCAGATGGCTCCGACTGCAGTAGAACCAGTGTGATTTTGCTGAGTGGGATTTTAGGATGCTAGAAGCCAAGCTTTATGTGTTTAGACTTGACAAGAGGGACAACATTTGTTCCTTTTAAAATTCTGAAGTATCAAAACTTTGTAATTTATCTTTAATGCAAATATTGTTTTAAGAGAAATTCATAAGCAAAAAAACCCAGTGTTTCCAACCCCAAATATGCAAAAATCAAGAGTGAGAACCTGCCCCAAATTATTACATTGGCTTAAACATCATGAGGGCTTTTTTAAACAATAAATCATGTTTGATTTTTTTTCTAGTTTATAAAATCTTGGTGATTAAATGCGCATGTGACAACTACACATGAGAAAAATGTGGACACACAAATACTAGCCCCAGCTCTCCTTTGAGCCAGTCTTTAAATCAAAATTCACCACACTGTCAAGGCTTCTTTCAGAAAGCACATGAGCTAAAATATACTCAATAAAATTTAGATAATCTCATAAAAAAATGATTATCAGAAGCCACATGGTGATACTAAACTCAGATATTTCATGGGTTTTCCACATTCTTGAATTTGTATTACCGAGAGTCAGGTCACAGGCTAAATAGAAAACAACATATACACTACTTAAAGACGCAAAATAAAAACATGCTGTATTGTTAGCGACTAGTTAAAATATAGTAAAAACCGGTGACATATGGGAACTACACTTCTCATACTAAGACATTTTCACTTTAGCCTTAATTTTGCCATGAGCTTTATATGGGGGTCTCCCAACCTGGATGTCACTTCAAGAGAGAGGGGATCTTAAATAGCACCATTCATCAGAAAATCTCAAAGTGTTTAATAGAAACGAAGGGAGACTGCCTACTTAAGCATCACACTTCTGATTAAATCTCCTTACCAGCTGTTAGAAGTAACATTTAATATTATTAAAAGCAAGCTTTTGTTTTGTGCATTTACTACCCTGTCATGTAGAGTTTCCGGTTTATGTTTTTTTATACAGAAACGAGAGGAGGAAAACAGTTTGTAACTGTGAAAGCACTGAGATTGGCCAGGTAACTTAAAAGAGCACCTGTAATACTTAAAATTTTAACATTCAATTTCAAGTCGTTGTTGGCCCCTCACATAATGAAGTCTTAGGATGCAACCCTACACTGGCACCACATGGACGGACCATCTCTAAAGTCGACGTGGTTTCACACAGACACAGGGAACGGCTGGCTCCGAGCCTTGGTCAAGGTCACCGGTCAGTCGGTCAGGATTAGACTCCTGATCTCCAAGAGCCCTGAGCTGGAGCCAACCTTCCCCTCGCGCTACAAGTGCCCCGCGTCTCACGAGTCCTGGGTTTCCTCTGAGCCTGCAGCGCGCGGCGTTCAGGGGATGAGAGAACAGCTCCTCCTTCACCCCTCCTGACGCCGCGGTCCGTGGGGGAACCGCGCCGTGACACGCACCCCTAAAACCTCCTGGTCAGGGGCGACATTGGTCTAGGGATGTCAGGGAAGACCCCCGTGATCTCACACCCGGGGTGGGGAGCCCCCTCAATTCCTGAGCGGCTGGATAAGGGGTAAGACGCAGCCTTTCCCCACCATCCCTCCCTCCCTCACCTACCTGCCTGACCCGCAGCTTCAGGATCTCCCCCTCACCAGAGTTACAACGCCTGCCAACAACGCTCCTTGCTATTGGCTGGCGAGGATCCCAAACCGTCTCCCCATAGGTCGAAGCGGGCGGAGGGGGAAGGGGGCTTATCTTTCCCGGCGTCCCTTTCCTCCTGTCAACCGGGAGGAAGCTAAGATGGCGGCCTTGGCGACCGGCGGGGCGACGCCGAGTGACGGGGCTACCAGTTTCCAGCGGAAAGTTCCTGCTAGCAGCCGCCTGGCCGCAATCGCGGGCACCCGGCCCTCGGTGCGCCACGGGCAGCTGCTGCTCTCCAGTGGGCTCCCCTCCCTGGATTGTGTGCTAGGTTGGTGCAGAGCTGGGACCCGGCCTCGCAGCGCAGGATGCTGGCTGACTGTCCCCTATCCCCCACCTCCTTCTGCTGGCTGCCCCCTTCCTCCTATTCCTTGTCTGCTCCTCTTCCCTTCCTTAAACCCGCAGCTACTTCAGTGCCGCCTCCCGATTTGTGATTGTGGGAGACTCTTTCTGCCAGTCCGACCCTCCCCAAAGCCACGCTGACTTGGGGAAGGGGAGTGAGAGACTCCTCACCTGACACTCATCCTCGAGGTTCCTTATTTTTGCGGGGTATGGGGGAGATGCGCGTAAAGGTCCTTACAACCTGCTGTGTGGGGTGAGACGACTGCATCGAGCTATTTGGGCTTCGTATACGTTTATACTTTTTTTTTTCTGGACTGGAAGGATTTGATGTGCCTGGTTTTTCCCAGTGGGACACTTGCTGTCTCACTCTTCATTTATTTCAAATCTTTATTCATTCAGATTGTCAGAGAAGGGGGTGTCTTACTGGACTAAGCCTCAAATTATGAAATAGTGCCAAATACATCCCTAGTGTAGTTGCCTTCTGTGGTGTTAGACCTTGGAAGCATTTTGGACATGAACTTGAACTGTGGGTTTGAAGCCTAGGGTCTCAGCTCAGATCTTATCTAAATTAGGGACTTTCTCTATTTTCAGCCATTGATGGCTAGCCACGGGTATAGCTGCAGTTCTATAACGTTGTAGAAAAGCACTGGGTAAGAACTAAGTATAATGTATTTATTTGTGTAAATTAGTTAAACTGCTATACTGTGTGGTTTGCATCAGCACAATTTACACAGATTTCAAATGGGCAAGTTCCACCATTGAAAATAGTGGCTTTGCCTGTCTATGCTAGGCTAGGGGCTTGCACTGGTGCAGCTATCCTAATGGCTGTTTAGGTAGATCCTCAGTATAAACAAGTTTTTAAGTTTCAGGTATCACAGGCATGACTCAGCCCTTTCATCCCTGGAGGCAGATATCTGTAGTGCTAGCATTTACTATGTTTGGGCATCTACAGGTGAGGTAATAAATGATAAGATGGTATTTGCTCTGTGGAAATGATTCTTCTGCCTTGGTGTCCTAAATCTCTCTTCTGTATCCTCCCCCTCTCCTATGCTGTACATCATGTAGAGAGGGAGGAGGGAACACTTCTGCTATCTTATCAGGAATGTTGATCCATCTTAGGGAGAGCGAAACATCCTTCTTAAGGGAGACACATAGCTCCATTTCATTACTACTGTATAGTTTTTAAAGCACTTTGAGAAGAAAAGTACAATGTAAATGTAAGATAACTAAACTGACCATCTTGATTCTTGTGTATGTTCTATTTTATAAAGTGGAGTTTGAAATGCCCAGCATGGTACAGCAAACGTGGACAGTTACCCATGGGCTCAATCTTCTGAGCCACCATTTTCTTGCTTACGTAATGATTAGTGCTGTATTTGATAAGGTGAATTGGGGAAACTTCTTCCTACATACTCTGTACCCCCTCTAAGCTATCTATTCCCTGTCTTTAAGCATTCAATAACTTCCCAGCTTCTAGAAAAAATATTTATTTCAAGAGAGAAAATGAGAACTTAGTGAGATGTTAATATTAGGTGAACTACATGAAAGCCCTTCATCCCCAGAAGGTAGCAACTTTTTAAACTAACTTTTTGAAGGAATCCAAACCATGGGTGACTGGCAGGTTTGCAAAATTCAGATTCCTTGCACTGAACCTGCACTAACCTCCTGGCCTCAAGGAACTATTTATCCTGGCTTCCTCTATATAGCTTGCAGCTGTATATATGTGATCGCTTGCTAAATTGATTACAGCATGCATGAAGACCTGTGTATAGATTTTCTCCCTGTTGCCCACTAACAATTTCACAGATAAATAATTGACAATGTAGTGTATTGTATTTCATTGTTATTGGGACTTATAGTGTGTGTGTGTGTGTTTGTTTGTTTGTTTTAAAACTCCTTGTGGAGGTTTGCATAATAGAATGTTCTATATCTTTATTTTGCAGAAGATATTTACAATAACACCATGCACAAACTTCCTTCGTTCACAGTTGGGCTTCAAGGAAGTGTTTTGTAAGCTCCCTACCCCAAGGAACAAAAGTGTGTTAATGTTAAAGCAAGAGTCATGTTGAAAAGAGCATTTGTAATAGGTACAGATCTAAGATAGAATAGGGGCCATTAGGGTTGTAGTGAGGCTTGTCAGTGCCTAGCTACATTGTCCCCCAAACTTTGCCAACATACCTGTTAAAAGTACACTGAATACAATTGTATATCACTACTTTAAACAACTATTCAATACTCTTTCGCTTTAGCCAATGGGGAGCTCTGTCCTTTTTCTTCTACACTAAAATGATCTTTTATTTTTAAAGCAGCTACTTCTGTCCTGCCCTTCATTCATGAACTTGATTTTTGAACCAAATCTGTTCCATGCAAATCCTATCCTCTGTTGTGAGAAATGTTGAATCAAGAAGTTGTTTGTGGGGTGGCTTTTTATTTGTTTGTTTTTTGTCTTTATGCTGAAGAAATTTCATAGTGTTTTTCATAACATTGTTTTTCCCTCACTTTGCATATCAGTCTTCCATTTGGGTTTCTAAGACTGAGAGTTATTCATTATACGTTTTAACATGTTCAGTTCCATTCATATAGTATGGAAGTTCCAACACAGAGACACAACATTATCCCCAGACATCACAAATAGGAGCTAGTGAAATCATGCTGGTAAAAATACACTTGTAATTACAGTTACAGCCTGTATCCCAGCATTAGCACAGCAGCAAAAATGAACTGTTAAGAAGAAACCATTAAGCAAAGATAGACCTTGAAGAGGACTATAGAGTAATTTAAGTTGCCCTCTGTATACTTGTTGAACTGGTACTACTGCAATTTACTGTTGTAAACTATCTTTTTTTTTTTTACACTTTTCTCTTTTCCAAAAAGAGAGGGGTAGCTAAATGCTGATCCAGCAAAGCACTAAGTCTGTGTCTAACTTTAAGGACACAAGTAGTTCAGTTAAAGACCGTGGGACTACTAGATCATGAGTTAGGCACAGGCTTGAGTTAGGGAGCTGCAGCCCATAGAAATATATTTTATTACGTTTTATAAACTGCCATTGTCTTGTAGCGTATATGTCCTATTCTGAAAGCTTTTCTGTCTCAATTGGTTCAAGCAAGATAGTATTTGTAAAACACTGAAGATGCAAATTGTTATATAAATGCTAAGTATTAGTTTTGCTGATGTTTTTCCTAATTTTATCAACTTACTGTTCCCTTTAAGTCAGACAGATTCATACTTCTAGTAGATTTCCATTTCTGGCAGTATTTTTAAATACATAATAAAGGTGTATATGCTCTAAACAGGAATATAGCATATGATAATTCTTCTGTCTATTCCACTCTTCAATGGAAAACCTTGTCCTCCAAAATCGTATCACCAGTATTTTCTCCTTCCAAATGCATCCTATAAGAGATACGTGATTTATATTATGGTTTCAGTCTGTTCTATGCAGTTCCAACAATTCTCTCTTTCTTATTCAAGCCTCAAATCTCCATGCTTTGCATGGTGGTGCAGAAAATGAACTGCTCTCAACTAGCACCATGATAACCAATACCATATGTAAAGGACTGAGTTGCCAAACTGAGGAACAAACAGATTATAAATACACAGCAGTAATAGGGCCCTTCAAAAGGATTTTGAAGGATTTTAAAATAACCTTTCTTTCTTTCTTTCTTTTCATTCTGTCAGCTTTTCATCTTCTCTCCAATCTATTTCACACCAATTCATGTCTTTCTCCACTTAGAGAGAGAGAAGTGTATGGGAAAATTCCATGGTAACCATGTACTAGTTTCATATACCATATAATTCAATAAAGTTATTTAAAAGTATTTATTACATTTGACACAGTAAAATGAGCCTCTGATCCTAGGAAATGCCAAGCAAGGTTGCGTTTTATGCCTTAAATACTCATACAAGTACTGTAAATCTGGCGTGTAAAAAGTGGTAGTATGCAAAAAATCCTTGAGACGTAACTTATTAACAAAAAAATCCTATTTTGCTGACAATTTGTCAATCCAGCACCCTCTGAGTACAAGTTACTGTTTTAAAAATGTGCTGCTTCTGCCATGAACACAAGAAGTGACTTTAAAATCTAATGGTGATGATGATGATAAAGTATAATTATCTGTGGATTTCTGAGCTTGTATCCCATTTTGTGTGTGTAACTGCTGTCTCGTAAGATCTTCGAGGCTTGAGCTGTTTGTGTATTGTACAGAGCTAAGCGCACTGCTGGTGCTAAACAAATAATATTAATGTTCTTCACAATGTTTGCATTTAAAAAAAAAGGACTCTTTGGCCCTGCTCTAAATTGTTCACTCTTCTGATTTGTGAAGAAAAACTCGCAATCAACCTACTGTTCTGTTGGCAGAAGAAGCACAGTTAACATAAGACATTAATATTCAAACTGGCATATTGAGCTGTTGGAATACTCTTTGTAGGCCCCATCTATAGTAATTTTTACTTTTGAGCAAATAGAGTGCAACAATAATCTGTGAGAATTCAGAATAATAAATGTTTATACTTAAAAAGATAGAATAATTCTAACAGTTGCTGACTAGCTAGGAAGTTTGTAGGTGAACAGTGTAAAATGTTTGATTAAAGTTGTTTGCCATAACTAATATTAAGAAATTATATGGAAGAAGGATATTATGATG